CGAGAGCAGAAGCTATATGCTAAGTTCTCCAAGTGTGAGTTTTGGCTAGAGTCAATGGCATTCTTGGGGAATATTGTGTCAAGAGAGGGTATTGAGGTGGATCTTAAGAAGATTGAGGTAGTTCAGAGTTGGCCACGTCCTATTTCAGTGCCAGAGATCAGGAGCTTCCTGGGGTTAGCACGTTATTACTATCGATTTGTGTAGGGCTTTTTATCTATTGCATCACCTCTAACTAGATTGACCCAGAAGGGTTCTCCTTTCCATTGGTCCGATGATTGTGAGGCGAGCTTTCAAAAGCTTAAGACGACTTTGATTATAGCACGGGTTCTAGTGTTGCCTTCTGGTCCGGGGATGTATACGGTATATTACGATGCTTCACGTGTTGGCTTGGATATGTATTGATGTAGGAGGGGCAAGTTATTGCATATGCTTCACATCAGCTGATTCATGAGAAAATTAACCTGTGCATGACTTAGAGTTAGTAGTGATTGTTCATACTCTTAAGATATGGAGGCATTATCTGTATGGGGTGTCATATGAGGTTTATACAGATTATCGAAGCTCGCAGCATTTGTTCAAGTAGAGGGATCTCAATTTGAGGTAGCGTAGAAGGCTTAAGTTGCTAAAGGATTATGCCATCACCATTCTTTATCATCCGGGCAAGGCAAACGTGGTCACAGATGCCTTGAGTAAGAAAGCAGAGAGTATTGGTAGCTTGGCATTCATACCAGTAGAGGAGAGGCCACTAGCTTTGGACATTTAGTCCTTGGCTAACAGACTGGTGTGGTTAGATATTTTAGAGCCCAGCCGAGTCCTTGCATGTGTTGATGCTCAGTCTTCACTATTGGGGAATATCAAGGCTCGGCAATCCGATGATCCGTATTTGGCAATTCTCAGAGAGATGATACTACAAGATGGTGCCAAGGAGGTTTCTATTGGCGAGCATGGTGTTCTACGACTCCAGGGTCTCCTATGTGTTCCTAATGTCGATGGCTTGAGGGAGAGGATCCTAGAGGAGGCACATAGTTCAAAGTATTTCATTCATCTAGGTGCTAGGAAGATGTATCGGGACCTGAAGCAACATTATGGTGGCGGCGGATGAAGAAAGACATAGTTGATTATGTGGATAGATGTTTGAATTGCCAGCAGGTTAAATATGAGCACCAGAGGCCAGGTGGCCTACTTCAGCAGCTGCCTATACATGAGTGGAAGTGGGAGCACATTACTATGAATTTCGTAGTTGGGTTGTCACAGACCTTGCAGAAGTTTGATGCGGTGTGGGTCATTGTCGATAGGTTGACCAAGTCAACACACTTCATTCCAGTGATGACTACTTATACTTCAGAGAGGTTGGCTCATATCTACCTTCGGGAGATAGTTCGGTTGCACGGTGTTCCTATTTCCATTATATCAGATAGAGGCCCTCAGTTCACTTCACATTTCTAGAGAGCTATTCAGAGTGAGTTAGGGACCCGTGTGGAGCTCAGCACAACATTCAATCCTTAGACCGATGGATAGTCGGAGCGGACAGTTCAGATTTTGGAGGATATGCTTAGAGCATGTGTGATGACTTTGGAGGACAACGGGATCAGTTCTTGCCTTTGGCCGAGTTTGCTTACAACAACAACTATTAGTCCAGCATCAAGATGGCTCCATTTGAGGCTTTATATGGTCGGCGATGTCGTTCTCCTATCGGGTGGTTTGAGCCTGGTGAGGCTAAGTTGTATGGTACAGACTTGGTAAGTGATTCCATGGAAAAGGTAAAGTTGATTCAGGAAAGACTTCGCACAACACAGTCCAGGCTAAAGAGTTACGCGGACCAGAAGGCACGTGATGTATTATTCATGGTCGGCGAGAAGGTTCTCTTGAAAGTCTCGCCGATGAAGGGTGTTATGAGATTCGAGAAGAAGGGCAAGTTGATCCCAAGGTTTATAGGCCCATTCGAGGTGTTGAGGTGAGTTGGGGAGGTTGCTTATGAGCTTGCTTTACCTCCCATCTTATCAGGGGTCCATCTAGTTTTTCACGTATCTATGCTTTGGAGGTATCACACCGACTTGTCTCATATATTAGACTTTAGTAATATCCAGCTAGATGAGAGTTTGGGTTATGAGGAGGAGCCAGTTGCCATTATTGATAGACATGATCGCCAGTTGAGATCCAAGAGGATTTCAGCGGTAAAGGTCCAGTGGAGGGGCCAACCAACCGAGGAGGTGACTTGGGAGTCCGAGGAGGACATGCAGACCAGATATCCACACTTATTTGGCACTTCAAGCATGAATCTAAACTCGTTCGAGGATGAACATTTGTTTAAAAGGTGGAGAAGTAACGACCCGACTAGTCGTTTTGATTTTTAGAACCTCGTTCCCTTAAATAAGACTTCCCGTACTTGATTTTACAGATTTATAACTTGTGGGAATGGTTGGTTCAGGATTTGGAAGAGTTGAAATCGGAACACTTGGTTCCTTAAGGTTGGCTTAAAAGGCCAAGTTTGATTTTGGTCAATATTTTGAGTAAACGACCTTGGAATCCGGATTTGAAGGTTCCAACAGGTTTGTATGATGATTTTGGACTTGGGCATATGTCCGGATCGTGTTATGGATGACCCAGGAGCGTTTTGTCGCCTAATAGTGAAAGTTGATTCCTTAAGAATTTTGAAGTTCTTAAATATTTGGTTTGGAGTGGATTTTTGTGTTATCGAGGTCCAAACAGAATTCCGAGACCGGAAATAGTTCCGTATTTGTTATTTAAAACTTGCACGCAAAATTTGGTGTCAATTCGAGTAGTATAAGTGTGTTGCATTGGATGTGAATTGAAGAACTTGAAGTTCATAAGTTTGATTCTATTGGTTTTAGGGGGTGATTCTTAGATTTAGCATTGTTTCGAGTATTTTAAGGGTTCGAGCAAGTCCATTTTATCATTTCAAACTTGTAGGTATGTTTGGGTGGGGCCCCAAGCGTCAAACGGACGAGGCTCGAGTTGAGTTAGAAATTTTGGAAGGAGCTGAAGCTCCTGGCTGCTGTCATAACCGCACCTGCGGTTGGCCAGCCGCAGGTGCAGGACCGCAGAAGCAGTCTATCAATCGCAGAAGCGACCAAGGGTGGTCATCCCAGGAGCCGCAGAAGCGGAGCCACAGAAGTGGTTTGGTTTCCGCAGAATCAGCCCAGCCAGCCAGTGAAATTTCCGCTAAATTGGAGCCCCTTCCTCAGAAGCGATAGTCATAGGTACGGCCCAGGACCGCAGATGCGGAAATCACTGAAGGCAGTGACCTTCATTTATTGCGGTTGTTAGCCAGTTTTGGCTCATTTCCACTTAGAAGTTGGGCGATTTTGGAGTTCTTGCGAGAAGAATTTCACCAAGCTCTTAGAGATAAGTGATCCCTACACTTTGTGAGTTAAAAACTTGGATTTTGGATAGATTAACATGTAATGATTAGTGAAAAATCATGGAATTTGAGTAAAACCTAGGGTTTTGATAAAAACAAGATTTAACCACAAAATTCATTATGGAATGGAGTAAAAACCATATATTCTTGACCCTTAGGTTATGGGTGTCAACTTCCTTCGAAAATTTCCGGAATCCGGGCACGTGGGCCCAGTGTTGAATTTTAAGAACCTTGCCCTTGGGGTTGGATAATCGCTTTAATATCTAGGATATGAATTTGTAAGCCTATAATAATGGATTTTTACACTATTTGAATAGTTTCGGATTGTGTGACTCCGGTTTGAGAGTTGGGGCGTATTCTTGAATTGGAAGTAGGCTCGAAACAGGGTAAGTCTCTTTTCTAACCTTGTAGGAGGAACGTCCACATGGGTGTACTTAATTAATGTATGATTAACTGTGGGGGCTACATACGCACGAGGTGACGAGAGTCCGTACGTGGCTACTATTCTTGTTATATCCGGGTAGTTCTAGGATAACATCATCCTTCGTGGTCGCTATTAATTGCTTAAATATGCTAACGGTATGAAAGGAAGTAAGTTGAAGGAAATCTAAAGATTTACTGGCTTCAAGTGAATTGTATTCATTTTGTTAACAAGGGAATTAAAGAATTGCTGTGTCTAAATGATGAAAAATTATGTTTACCGCGTCTCACGTATGATTCGCGAGCGGGGTTATGTTTTTATCGCGTCGCATGTATGATTCGCGAGCGGGGTGAATAGATGCATTTATGGTTCGTGCCGTTCGACTCTCGGCAGTGCACATTTTACTTTTATGTTGGGCCGGGCCGATCGTCCTTGGTGGTATTTGTGTATGTTAATGGTACCATACCCCTTATAATTGTATTACTTATTGCTGGAAAGGTCACTATTCTAAATGAGGAAAATGCTTAGTTTTGTTTATTGGAGGAAAGGATTTTCAATAATTATTCTGTTTGAGTTTGATGTCATCTATATACACTGTGAATTAAATAGGTTGAATTTCATATTATTATATATTTGCTGGCCTAGTAAGTGTCGAAGTCGACCTCTCATCACTACTTCTGCGAGGTTAGACGAGATACTTACTGGGTACATATTTTTATGTACTCATGCTATGCTTTTATGCTTGACTGTACAGGCTTTGAGGCAGGTGCATCTGGCCATCAGTCCGGCACATAGAGTGGACATCTTAGCTCTAGACTTTCCGGTGAGCTGCCCTTCCCAGCCGATCTGCAGCTGCTGGAGTCTCTCTTTTGTCTTATGTTCCTGTCTATTTCTTTTCCAGACAGTAGGATAGTATGGCTTTGTATATTCTACTAGATTGCCCACATACTTGTGACACCAGGTCTTGGTACACATATTAGTAGAATTATGATATTTTGGCTTTTCTTCATAATTGAGATTTGCATTTGTTTCTTTCACCTAAATATGCTTTAGTTTTTGAAAACTATAAATTTCTTAAATTTCTATTACAGAGAAGAGGCAAAGTGGTCGACCAAGGGTAAAAGAGTAATTTTATATTTTCATTAAAATTGCTACTTTTATGGGTGCCTAAAAGAGTGCATTGGAAACAGACGGCTGTCAACACACTCAACACACTCTAGAATCATCTTTCAATCTCATTCCAAAAAAATAGGTGCAAGAATACGCTTTTCTTTTATGTCGACAATCTTTATTAGTTTATACTATCCTTTCACTTCTCTTTATCATTGCAAAATTGGGTCTATCTAATTTGGGTATGTTTTCTTTTAATTTTTGCCCAAATGTTTTTCCAGTTTTCCTTAGATTTTCAATTTCATGGCTGAAATTCTGCCTAACCCTTTTCAGTATTCTTCGGCCTTCAAATTCTTCTCAAGTTTGTAATTTGTTTAATTTGTCATCAGCTAAAAAAGTCTCCAGAATGTCGAATATAATTCTTCTTTTGCTGTTTGATATCATCGTATGGTCCCTTATTTTTCAAAATTTGTTTCTTATTGGGGAATTTATGTGTTTCTCTATTCTTTGTGCATAAATTTATTCATCTTGTACTAAACTTTGTGGAAGTACTGACACTTGAATTTGGTGGTGCATTAGAACAAATTAGGCCCTTTTTGTAAAAATTCAACAGATTGTGTTATTGTTCTGTCCGCATGCTGTTCTTTTCTCTTTCTTTTGCTTTATTTATTGCTTATATAAAGGATTTGTTCGTTATTCCTTTCAGGTATTCTTAATCGTAATGGGATGCACTATCAATTAGAAGGTACTAATATATTCTGTTCAAAGTTTGATTATGTAGTTATACAGTAAATTGTATGTTCATCTAAGTCATTTTGTATGTGATATATGCCAATGGAATTCAGTTTGTATTTTACATATTGTATGTCCATATTTATCAATATTAAACAGGTAAATTAAAATTTGAGTTTAGTATCTTTTTAAGTCTCGATCTTTAAAAAAATATTCAGGGCTGAAAATGACTAACAGGGTTTTTCTTTAACTCTATTTTGAGAAAGATGGTCATTTAATTGAATTTATTTTTATAATGTAGAAGTGCGGTTATATGTATTGAATGATTCTTACTTATGTTGCAATATTTCTTTCTGTATATTTATTAGATTCTCAAGATCTTTGGTTTCCACCAAATTACTACTTTAAAGGATCAGTACTAAAGGATGCACGATCTGTTCCGAATTACTTTGGAAATCTGCCTCTCCCTACGCTAACTTAGACCTAACTGAATCTAGAAACTTTTAGGGTTCTTCTGATGTGGTGATTGCTTATACAACTCTATCTGAAGTATAACATAAATTCTCCACAAGTTGAAGTTTCAAAAGTTGTTCTAAAGATGGAAACATTGATAGAAATGCACCGTAAGTCAAACCTACGACTCCAGCATCAATTAGTATATTCTACGCCCATAAATAGAATACCCCCATATAAGAAGTTGCAACATGTTAGCTTAATGAAAATTGGCACAAGGTGGTTAAGAATTGAGGCGTGAGGTAAACCCACCAAAATCTAAAAGCATTGTCTTAAAGACCATATAGAACCAATAGATAAAGGCATGAGGTACTTAAGAATTGAGGGCTTTGTGAAATTTTGAAATAGACTCATCCTATTCCAAAATAGATGAATACATGCATAGAAGTTCTGTCTATTTGGTTTGATAAACAATCTTGTTGGTTTAGAGCACTCTTCTAAAATCGAGAAAATAAGGTCACACCAAGCTGATTTATTTCTTGTTTACTAAAGTATGTCATACTCCTTTACGAGGAAAGTAATTGTCTTGGAGGAGAGGGGAGAATTAGAGTTTCAAAATTCTCTTTTTGATTTGTGTTTGTAAATTTAATTTCAGTGATAATGTGAGAGTTGTTTTGACAGTTCTAGCCGTATCAATAATATCCTTGTATGTTTTTAAGTCTGTTTGGCAGTTTTTTAGCTGAATAAAAGTTTTTTCATGTTAAATCTGTACAAGGACAAAGAAGGGTCTTTAAGTTAGAATCTACGATTATGTCTTATATTAAAGGTGGACAAGAACATCAAAGTGACTGCGCAACCGTTAGGAATCAGCAGTTCGTGGATGACAGATCAAGAAGTTAGGTATTTTGATGATATGTGCATTTGGAACCAGTATATGTCATATTATTAGCCAGAGCAGACAACTTGCATGAAAATATGATACATTGTGCTTAGCGTCGAGTTAGACTGAGACATGATTATGTACATCCTAATCTAGGATAGAGAATAGCTTTTTCAGCTTAACCGTGCATATAACTTTCTTTCAAAAGGATTCATAGGACCACGAACCAAATGACTAAAAACCTAGGAGTTTCATTATTTGATGATTCATGCTACCATAAACTCATCTTGAATATCTCGACTAGATCTTCAATTTATCTGCATTTTTCAAAATGGGGTATAGGAGAAACTATAATGAAGTTACTCATTTTTAATAGAGTATTTTTGCTATAACTGCAAAAAAAATATTTTATTTTTTATCATATACTTGGTTATAAAAAAAACAAATAGGTGTTAGCACTCTTTTTTTAAAAAAATTATTTCCCATGTCTTCTTTTCGCCCCTTGCCCCAAACTTTAGTCTTTAGTATTCTTTGGATCTTCAATTACTTACATTATGTTAAGGTCAATTTTTCTTGAGTTTAACAGTAGTTGACTTGAAGAGAATAAGGTGCAAGCTTTAGAGAGTTTGGTATGATGTTATGACTTGAAGAGAATAAGGTGCAAGCTTTGGAGAGTTTGGTATGATATTATGGCCAGACTGTCAAATGCTTAATCATTTGCATGAAACGAATCGATACTTATACTAAACGGTAAATGACTAAACTTTTCGTAAAGTAACTTTCTTACACTTTAAGTAAAGTGAATATTGTACTACTATTATTTTTTATTATTTTATTATTAAAACTTTATTAATCAATTTATTCATTGAGTAGTGTACTGATTCTGCGAATATTAATTATAGATAAAAATATGCCGATGTATAATCATTGAATGAACAATTTTCAGAGAATAATAAATTTTACTTCCAGTTCGCTATCCTCTATGAAGTTGCTTGATGAGAAATTTCTTGTCCAGAGTCCCTCCCATCTTTTCTTTCTTTTCTAACTTGGAAGAAACTATGCTAAACTGATATTGTAATTTTTACTGGATCCTACACACTAATCTAGATTATCATATGGGCATCCTCTTTATTAGAGATCTCTGCTCTCGATTTCTTTTAGGTATCCTCCAGAACATGCAACTTTTTAACTGATCAAAGAAAATATATGACTTATTAAGATGTAATATTTTAAGCTGTTGCTGACCAAACTAAGGCTGTAAGGCGAATACTTGAAACGCGATCAATCTTTTATCTTCCACACTATTTTTCTAATCTTTACTTAACCGGCCAAAGCCACACATCACCGGTAAGTTATTTGATTAGCTTTTGACATTTTATTTTCATTTCTTACCTTTTGCAAATTTTGACTTACATGGTAATTTTACTGCATAACACGACGCTTTTCTTCTCAACTTTACCAAATTCTATATTTGTTGTTTGCTGCAAGTTCCCCACCCTGGCTACATTATGTGACAAGAATTGAGTTGGGCTAATGCGAAGAAATGATTTCTACAAGTGCTAATATTATTGTCATATCCTGCAAAACTTGGAGACTAATTGCAGCATTGTAGTTTAGTTGCATTACATATTGTTAATATGTAAATAGTACATATGTAAATAGATTAGTGTAAAGGATATAAAGAATGTGTCATTTTATGCATTGTTCTGCAACCCTGTAGCAGATGTTTTATTAACCTTTGTACAACGGAAATATTGTCCATAAATGCATGTAAATATGAAACAGTTAGTTGGCTATGCTATATATATCTGGTTTGATATTACTTATTTAGATGTTTCAATCTCTTCATTCTGCAATTGCATGTTACGACAAAGATAGTAATATTAAATTACCGTTCGCTTTTACAAGATTGGAGCACGGGCCAAAACTTATCTAGTCTAAATAGAAGTTATCGTGTACTAACCACATGAGTGAGGGTTTACTATATAATCAGTGTTGGCTTGCCAAGCAATAGTGTTGGGCGGCATCACTATCTAAGATGAAATTTGAGTAATGACATTTTGATTGTTATGTCCTTGTGCACTTTGTGTGTTGGCCCTTTTGTTCATTTGCTGTCCTAGGTGGGGACCAACTGAATCCCTTTCTTTCTTCTATGTGTTCTAATTAATGAATGTCTCATCATTTATCTAATTATTTAATAATTAATTACGTTTACTGCTAATTTGTATATAATGTTGTTAAGCCACTGTTCATTTATTTGCCATGTAAAACTAATATGTGGTCTTTATTTTTTTAAGTTAAAAAAAAAAAAAAAAAAAAAAAAAAAAAAAAAAAAAAAAAAAAAAAAAAAAAAAAAAAAAAAAAAAAAACAATTCTTAAATCATGCTTGAGACGGAATGCATCAAAGGAAATTTAATAAGTCTGTCAAAACGTTGTTAGAAACTGTATACATTATTATTGATACTGAACATAGTAGAAGCACTAGGTAATTCTTATATGTTCGAAATTTAATGGACAGAATTATTTGATTATGCGCTATTTAGAGAGAATAAGTATTCCATAAAATTAGCCGAAATACACATACGCTGATAAGTATAAAAGGTAAACTACTTTTTTTTGTTTAAAATAAAGTCATTTTTAAAATTAGGACAAGGTCGAGAATGAGCAATATTTTTTATGTTTTCCGAATATCATGATCTTTCACCAAAAATATTGGGTTATTTCATGTTTATAAACCATTAAAGCTTCATATGATTTCAAGAAAGTGAATTGATGTTTTGTACCAAGGAAAAAAGCTAATTTTGAAGAACATCTACAAACATTAAATTGCAACGTCAAATTGTTAAATTTTATTTAGAAAAATTCTAAACGGTAACTTTATGAATGAAATTCATTAAATTCATGTTAAAGCACGTATGTCGTATTAACTATACTTTCGTGATTTTTTAACATATTTATTTTCTATGAATAATAAGCTATTAAATATTTGATTTAATTCAGAATAGGGGATATTTATCTATCCAAATGCTAAAGCTCAGTTGGGTGTGAGAACTTATTATAGTTAAAAAAAAAATCTATTAAATATTTTAATGGAAAAATACCTTACCACCTCCCTAAACTTGTCACGAATTATTAGTTACAGCCTTAAACTATTCGTGATGTTAATTACCTGCCTCAACAAGGCTTTTTGAGCCATTACCTCCGTGGACGCTGATGTGACAAATTGTGTGGGTGCACTCGCCTGCCACGTGGGTTTTTCTGTATATGTGGTATTTTTTTGAAAAATAAAATATATTTTTACCTTTTTAAGTATGTTACTTTTTTAGATAATTTTTTCCGAATACAGTTTATAATAAAACTTGGATATAACTACATTATTTAGGCTAAATATTTTTATTTAGCTAAAAATAATAAAGTTTTAGTTAATTTATTTTTAATTTGACCTGAAAATAAAGATTTATACAATTGAAATAAATAGTCAAGACATCTAAAAAGTTATAAAAATACATAGTTTGAAATTAATTATTTTGGCTATAATTTTTTATATAGCTCTAAATTATGGTGCTCTAAAAATATATAATTTTTTTTGACAGATTTTACCTTAAAAAAGTAAATATACACAGTTAAAATAAATAGTCATTATATCAAAAGAAGAAATAAAAAGAGTGTACAATTGCAAAAAATAACTTACTCTATGGATACATTTTTAGAGCAATAAAAAAAAGGGCAGCCCGGTGCACTAAGCTTCCGCTATGCGCGGGGTCCGGAAAAAGACCGGACCACAAGGGTCTATCGTACGCAGCCTTACTCTGCATTTCTGCAATAAGTATTTTTAAGAGCAATAAGTATGTTAGAAATAATAAGTTATTTCTTGCAATTGTTCACTCTTTATATTTCTTCTTTTGATGCAATGACTATTTATTTCAACTGTGTATTTTTACCTTTTCAGGTAAAATATGTAAAAAGTATATTTTTAGAGCACCATAATTTAGAGCTATATAAAAAATTATAGCCAAAATAATTATTTTAAAATTATGTATTTATTAACTTTTTAGATGCCTTGACTATTTATTTCAATTGCATAAATCTTTATTTTTCAGGTCAAATTCAAAAAAAGATTAACTAAAACTTTATTATTTTTAGCCAAATAAAAAAAATAGCCTAAATAATATAGTTCTATCCAAGTTTTATAAATGGTATTCGAAAAATATTATCTAAAAAAGTAATATACTTAAAAAGGTAAAAATATATTTTATTTTTCAAAAAAATGCCACATATACAGAAAATCCACATGGCAGGCGAGTGCACCCACACAATTGTCACATCAGCGTCCAGAGAGGTAATGACTCTCAAAAGGCCTAGTTGAGGGGGTTTATTAAGACCAAGAATAGTTTAAGCTGTAACTAATAATCCGCGACAAGTTTAGGGGGGTGATAAGGTATTTTGCTTATTTTAATAGATGTCATTAGGGTAGAATGAGCAGTTTAAAATTAAATTGTTACTAAATATAAAAAGATAATATTTTTCTAGGATTCCCAAAAAAGAAAAGAAAGGATGTCACATAAATGAGACGAAGAAGTATCATTTTACTTGAGATAAAATGTAAAATTGAAATACTCATCTTGGGTTAAATAAGGACAAGCTAATTACTACAAAACCTATATTGTCAGACTCGTAAAATATTAATGGGGCTAGAAAAATAAATAGAACAACACAAGTATTGTTATTTAATGAACTGGGATGGAAAGTGCCAAAAAGAATTTACTCCATAACAGCATACACTATATACATAATTGTTCTTCGTATTTCTCATTTTTATATTTTTGATGCTATGTTGCTTTCAGTGTTGCGGCAATAAGTAATTGATGAAATACAAAAATTATTTATTTATTAAAATATTATATATGACATACAAAATAAATTATTTTGGAACGTATTTTATTATATTTAAGATTATGTTTAAATTATATGTTATTTAAGGAAAGACAAATCTATATATTTATATAAAGCTGGTCTAAGAGAAGGTGAGGTGGCACCTCTCTTAAGCCAGAATTGGTATTTATCTTTTTTGTCAATTTTTTTGGTAATTTTCTCTTATATTTCCCTCAAAATATTTGCTTGAAAATGAAGCCACTCTATCAAATTGTCTATAACGGTATACATTCATTGCTCAGCTAAAAGGGAAAGACATTCAAGAATATGAAATTAGTTTTTCAATTCTTACATTTCAGCAGAATTGTTCGTTTCTCCAATTCCTACATTTTAGCAGAATTGTGTGTTTCCATAATTTTAATTTGTATTTATATTTATAACTCTCACTCCTCTCAATTCATAACATCCAAAAATTTAATGTGTTATTTAGTGACATAATTATTCCTCCATCTATGCTTATACAACTTAATATAAGTCTGATATCCAAACGACGCCATGAAATATCATCTTAGCAGTATCTTCCATGGCATATTTGTCCGCAAAGTTGTAAAATCATAAAATACTGTTCAATCATCTGGTAAATACATGAAGATACTCTTAGAGGTGGATTCTTTTTCGACTCGCTTACTTACTTTTTGTTCTTATTTTGCTAGGTTTTGCAGTTTCTTCTCCAAACATGACTGAGAAAGTTGGCACTTGTGCCTATTGGATTATTAACCTCTTAGATGTTTTGACAGAAAAAATTGACAAGAGCTAAATATATGAAGGTATGCACATTCATAAATGCTGAAAAAATATAATTTTGTGCCTTTTTTACAAATGACTTTTATAATTCCGTCTATAGTTTTTAATTTTGACCATTACTTTTTTTTTCTTACATGGCAACATTAGCAGCTTACTTTGGTCTTGAGGAACAGTAACACAGGTTAGATTAAAAGATATAAAATTTATGGCCTTAAATCAACATTATTTAAGCTATTTTTCATGTATGAGAGATGATGTTCGGGTGAATTTGGAAGACTTAAAATATTATGCAACGGTTCTATTTCTTGTATATTCTTACTTTATATTATCTTGGCAAAACTTTTCAATTAATTTGATCTTCCAAGTTTACTTATTTTTTCAATGTGATTCTTTTCTCCTGTTAATTAGGAATCAAGTTTTAGATTTGACCAATGGAATTGTCAAGGTACTTCTGACATTGCTACGAGAAGCATAAATTTATTTTAATGGAAACAACCATGCATTTTGTGGTTACTACTCACTAACACCTATATGAGCATATAAGATTTTTCATGTTAAAAAATTAATCGAGACAATTTAGGCAATGTCAATCGTCCTTGACATGATGAATGCTATTTTTCTATTTAAGAGTTTATTGAAATTAATATTATTTGTTTTTTTTAATAGTCTAAAGAAAGCTTAGTGGTGGATGAGTTTTGTCACGATCCCAATCCCCGGTCGTGATGGCGCCCAACACGATGCAAGCCCGACCAATTCGTCACTCACAATTCCTTAAGTAGAATTCATTGCCAATTAATAGGATTTAATGCCAGATTAACATGAGTATAACTCTGTAGTAATAGATAAACAGTACGAAAAATCCATAAAATATCACTACAGATCCCACCGATCTGGTGTCACGAGCCAAGAGCCTCTAATACAAGTCTGTGTAGCGACCTATACATAGAGTTGTCTAGAATGCGGAAATAAAGAGGATAAGGGAAGAAATCGGGTCCTGCGGACGCCATGCAGCTACCTCGATGACTCCGGAATAAGCTGAACAGCGGCAGAAAGCCCAAACTATGCCTCCGGGATACCTGTATCTGCACACATAGTGCTGGGAGTAAAGTGAGTACTCCAACTCAGTGAGTAATATTAATAAATACT